GACTGGCTGCATGGTGGGTGCCTACCGGAGCTTATATTGGGATGAGCTGGTTCGGCTCTGGCTGACTTGAGAGTCCGCAGGGCGCTGAGAGAACAGGGCCGAAATGTTTGCTAACGAAGGCACTCCCTTTGGAGATTTAAAACTGGAGGCCAACCAGACACTCTAAAGGTTTCCATTTAGGATAACGTACAGAATTCTGTAGTCGTAACAGGATCCCGGAGCAACTGCTAAACAGAGATGTAATCACCTCCTTGGAGGGGAGTTTGCTGATGTGTTCCTGCCACATTTCTCCTTCCAAGTGGACTGGTGAACTGCAACAGTAGGCTTACCTGCCCCCTCTGATGAGGCTGCCTGTTGCAACTCTGCATGTACCAGGAAGTCTTTAGTATTTTTGCTTCAGATGTAATTGGGTCAAAATTACTTCTAATGCAGAATTACCCAACCCCAGTGGAAAATGATTTGGGATTGAAAATGGAAGAAGTTAATCCCTACTTTAATATTGCTGAATCTCTGGCCTCAGGATGTGTACCCTCTGAGAATCCAAAAATTGATTAATATCCTCATTAGTGCTGCGAAAGTCCTCATCGCCAGGAAATGGAAAAACAAACACATTCCTACAATTACCCACTGGATCCATAAAGTTTGGGACTTTTATCTTTTAGAAAAATTCTCCATTTTTAACTCCACAACTCAAAATGCCTGTGATTTCTATAATCTGCTAGATAAGTGGTATCCAATATTGGATAAAATTACAATTGACACTTTTGACTAGGAACATATTTCTAAAGCCAAATACCAATTAATGATCTATGGTTAAACATTATTTCTATGCTGTTACCTTATCTAATATTCATAATAACGTTCATCATTGAATTATATGCTATATGATACTGTTTGGAACCTTGCTAATGTTATTGATTTTTGTGGATGTTAACATGTAAATATTCTCAATAAACGAATTTTCTGTTTAAAGAAAACATGGAAGAAGTTAATGTAGCTAAAAGGACATTGATGTGGTATATGATCACGACTGCTAGAATGACATATGCCCAAAGTTGGAAACAAGACATGGTACCCGAAGTTGAGGACTGGATTAAGAAACTACTTTTTATGGTTGAAATGGACAAAATGGCAAGGAAATTAAATAATTTGGAAGGAGAAGACTTTTTTGCAGACTGGAAAGATTTTAAGGACTATCTGGAAAAAAAATGGGATGTAAGGGACGGTTTATTTAGCTTTGACAATGATTGAAGTTAATAGTTTTTAATAACTGAGTAAGATGTATTACTTAAATAGTGAAAGATAAGTTACCTACAGATAAATATAAAAGCAAACATGAAAAATGTGGAAGAAGAAGATCTAAGAAATGAACAGGAGGGTTGGAGCACTGTGGGAAGCCGCGCGGGGGGGGGAAGGGTGGAGGATTATGATGGATTAGGGTAAAAGTTGTGATTTATATTTGACTATGTTTATTATACCCTAATAAAAATGGTTAAAAAAAAGAAAGAAAATGAATGGAAAGGGGCAATCACAAAGAGACAAGGCATACAACCCAGACTGTAGGATAAATACTCTGGATTAGAAGAAGCTTTTAACCTAGAAAACCTATTTCGGCAACCAAACAGTTCTCTCACAGCATACCAGTGGCCCCCAAGCCTACAGTGTTGGGAAGTTACTGTTTTCAGGGACCTACTGAAAGCCACCTCAAGAATGTGAAATTAATTTTGGCCAGCTTTGGGGGGGAGTGGGGGAGAAAAGGAAAAAAGAGTATTGCAATGGGTTGCCAACCTCCAAGTGAGGCCTGGAGATCTCCTGGAGTTACAATTGACCTCCAGACTATAGAGCTCAGCTCCCCTGGAGAAAAATGCAACTATGGAGGGTAGTCTCTATGGCATTATAACCCTGCTGAGGTCCCTCCCCTCCTCAAATCCTGCCCTCTCTAGACTCTACTACTCCCAAATCTTCAGGAACTTCCCAACCCAGAGCTGAGGGCTGGCACAGACTGATTCTAGGGAGCTGGCAAGACTTCAGCACCTAGGAGAGCTCCAAGAGAGCAGCCATTGTTCCACTGAAGCCCAAAGCTAAAAGGAGGCCATATCCCCTCCAAGCCACCCCTGGGGGAAATTTGCAAGAAATTTACAAGGGCAGCACTCAGGTGTAGAATGCCCATGAAAAGCCAAGGACAAGAGCTCCCCCCAGTCTGACATCAGCAAACCATTTTACTGCAGGGTTCTACTACACCTCTGCACCATGTGTGGCACCCTATCCCTTTTCCCTTTGCAAGGTGATGCAGATTATCAAGATTCATTCCAGGTAGACTTTGGTTAGCCAAATGGACTAACACAGCAAGCGAAGGGGCCACTCGGTCCATTATGCCAGGATCCAGCCCCACCTGTACACATTAAGTGGGCTTATGCGGAATAAGACCATTGGTTCATCAAGGTCACTGTTGTCTACTCAGACTGGTAATGGCTCTCCAGAGAATCAGATGAAGGTCCTTCAGATCTACTACTTAATTTTTTTAAACAGTTGTAGATGCCAAGGATAGGACCTGGGACCTTCTGCAGGCCAAGCAGACACTCTACTGCTGAGCCACAGACACCGAGGCTCTCCCCTCTAGCCCGGGTTTATCAAATTTTATCACTGTTATCAAATTTTAATTTTACAAGAACGTGACTGGCCCAAGGTCACCTGGCAAACTTCCACAGCAGAGTGGGGATTCAAATCCGAGTCTCCCATCATCTCAGCCCAGCGTTCTGATCACAACAACAACCACGGCCACAAGTGAAAACCACAAGCTCACGCACCATCAGAAGTGGCCCCGGCTCTACCACCCCCTCACCAAAGGAGAAATTCATGAGAAGGGAGTACTATAGGCCCACGTCTGCTGTGTGGGGGCAGGATTTTCACTGATGATCTGCGATAGCCCCTCCCACTTAATTCATATTACTCCATCCACCCTTACAGGCAGCTGCATAAATTTTCCTTTGCTGGTAAAAAGAATACCATCCTACACCTCACGACTCCATGTGCAGAGGGAAAACCAGGTTTTGCAAGACTTAACCTGTGTGCGTTAAAAGCCGAGACACGAAGTCACATAAACCAGGAAGCAGGAGTTGCATTATACATGGTTTATTTAATGGCAAGTTTAGTGACAGCAGCTATAATTCATATTACTTTTCAGGAGTGAAAAATGTGTACCTGGACACCAGAATTAGCACCTAGTATAGCGGGGGGGGGGGGGGGAAAGAAAGCCCCTTAAAAAAGAAGTGCTAATCTAATCAGAAGCCTTCTGTGAACAAAGGCGTGAAAAAATACCTCTGTATAGTCAGATGATCAACTTGCTCACAATTTAATGGGGGGAGGGGAAGAGTCAAATACTTACCTTTGACAGGAAACCACAACTCAAAAAAAGATTAAAAGATGCAAAAAAAAAAATTGTTTAAAAAAGACACAGGACAGATCACAGTCTTGGTCTTTAACTTATTGCAAAACGCAGAACACACTTTCAGTGCAAAGAAAGAAAAGAAAGACTCCACTCTTGAAAACGCTGCTTATAAAACATCACCCAAAGTTAAGTTAAAACTTGCACCTGCCAAGACCTCTGCAGGTACGAATGAGACAAAACGGTTAAAAATACAATGTGTCCTCCCCCCCACTGCAGCCCAGAACCATTAACACTGTCAAGAGACGAGCCTCTCGGAGTGACCGTGCCCGGGGATTCTGGCTGTGAAGTGCAAAGTTTGCATCCCGTCTCGTATTCACCCACTCAAGCCTTCCCCCTTGGCATCCAACCAAGTTTGAGAAGCGGGTTCATTTAGCAAGCGGGTGGAACTTTGTCTGCCGGGGCTCGTCTTGATGGAATGGGAGATTCAGCCATTGAGAACGCTGGAAGCATGGAGGTGCAGAGCAAGGAACAGCCAACTACAGTGACTGAGGAGTGCTGGGAGGAGGGGCTTTGAGGAGAGTGGTTAAGAAGACACCGAGGTGGTCTCAACGTGCCCCAGAGATTCCAAACACACACAGAGACTATCCGAACACAGACCAAATTGTAAAAATTTAAGGTAGAGTCTGTACGCTACCCCATTTGGCATGACACCTGAAGAGGACACGTGGCCAGGAGTGAACCAGATCTTACATCAAATGCATGGAGCAGACACAGGTGGATGTGCTGCCGAACACACTGTCGATTGGCACTACATTGGGAGGGACAGTTCGTGCACACTGCTGAAGACAGACTGGAATGAAGACCCGAGCGGGAGTGTGAATGGATCTGGGAATGGTATCTCCACTCGCCCAAGATCCCAATTTCCCTCAACGCAACGTAACAGCTGCAGACCAATTCTCAGTGTCCTTTGTAGTGGGCCAATAAAATGTGGCTGGTTTGGGGCTTTTTTTTTTGTTTAAAGAATAAACATTTCAAACATGGAGGATAAAGATTTTGAACATGCCGGCGTTGAAGCACAGGGGTAAAGCCGCCGTTTCACCACACACCGCACTGACTTCTAGAGCCGCGCCGACCAGCTCTGATGCCAGTGGGAAAGAAAGTGGGCTTCATCCTAGACGGTTCTTGAATCTCAAAACCAAGTGGTGACAACCAGCTGATGTTGCATGCTAACGCATGGGGGGGGAGTTATTTTGTGGTCTATTAAGACTAGCTTTGAGGAGAAAATTATAAATATTAGAATATGAGTGCTTACTTTATGGCTGAGACCAAAAAACTAGCCTCTTCCCAGCATGCTGGGCCTCTCTGCCATTACACCCCTCTCCCCCCCCCCAGAACAATGTCACTTAGCAGCAAATCTGCCCTGTTGACAGTGAGGAAATCTTTTTAAAGAGCTACCATTCCTTACAAGATACCCATGCAGGTAAGACACTGAACGTTTCAATCCTATGTACAATTTTAAATATTTACTTTACAATAGATTTCCTCTTTTTAAAAAAAAAACAAAAGTATCCTTTGAAAGGTCCAACTTGGCATTCCTCTGCAAAGTGCTGATCATCGCCTTGATTTGGGAAGGGGAGCGGGAGGGCCAAACACACGTCAACCGGGTTTAAAAAAAAAAAAAAAAGACCACGCCTGGAAGGGAAAACTGCACACGCACACCCCTGGGTGTCCCGTTAAAATTACACTGGAGTTGTGTAAAAAAAAAGAAGAAGTTAAATTCAGTTCACCTTCACCATACACACAACCCTGAAAACAAACCTATTTTCTGGCTAAAACAAACACTGCCGGGCACCCCTGGCAGTAATAGTACCTCTAAAAAAATGTGCCAGCTTTAAACCCCTCTGAAGCATCTCTCGGGCCACCCGCCAAGAAGCAGAAAGCAGCGTGAAGGGAACGTGCCTGCCGCTGCCCCAGAAGCGGCTATCATCCAGCGTACACCTGAGGCTGCAATGGTGGCGGGAGTTTGTCGTTCTCGACGTTTTCAGAGTCGATGGCCGCCAAGGCCGGGTTGGGGGGCTTGATCTCCAAGGGATACTTCTCGACGATCTCTTGGACTTCCTTGGCGACCCCGTCGGTCCAGTCAATCAGATCTCTCTCCAGCTTCTTGGCCTCGCTCACGATCCTCTCCTGCCGCTCGTTGAGCTGGGAGAGGAGATCGAGGTTCCTGTACATCTGCCGGACGCCCACGCACATGTCAGCCGACCAGTTCTCGGGTTCCTGCTTCTTTGGAGATGCCTGGCCAGACATGTAACGGTCAAAGTCTTCCTCGCTCAGGTTTAGGGACTGCGCATCCAGCTTCTCTATGAAGGCCACGGCACAGCACTGCAAGATCAAATACTTACTCGTAAGTGTGAGGACTCGCATAAAACAGTAAGGGCTACATACACACAATGCGCCAGTTAAGAACACAGTGGTATTCTTGAGATATCTCTGTCAATGGAAACCCCTCGCTGGCTTCCAAATGAGGGAAGTCCACTGGCACCTTTAAAACCAACAAAGATTTATTCTGGGTATCAGCTTCCATGGGCATGCACACTTCTCCAGATCTCTGTGTACTCAGAAGAGGGCGGTTTATAAATTAAAATTATAAATAAATACAAATATACCTAAGATACATCTTTGTTGGTGTAAGGAAGAGACCGGTTTGTGTTTTAAAAAAGCAACACTGAAGAACCGAATGAGGGCAGGAGGGGGAAGCCCAACCTTGCAAGTCATTGCAGGAACTGCCCAGTTCTTAGCTTCGCAAGAGCTGCACAGCTGAAATATCTTCAGTAACAGCTGGGCTGGATAGAGGGAGGGGTAGCGTCTTAATAGGTCCTTCGAGGATAAAAGCCAAAAAGGTGGGGGGGAGGAAAAGTGCGCGTCTTTTGGGCAGGATTTCTCCTACCTTTCAGAGTTTAAGTTTCAGCTGATTTTAATCACTGTTCGTATTTTGGCAACCACTGAAGGACGTTGAATCTTCCTTTGTTTATCTAATTATTGTTAGTCAAGGTTGCCTTGCCCTTTCTTTGATAATAAAAATACCTTTGCCTGATTTACTGAACTGAAGTACAGAGCCTGAAGCTGAGTATCTTAACAGAGAACCCAAAGCCTGCATCATACAGTTGGTCTTAAAAGTGCCACGGGCCTTAAACTTTGCTCTGCTGCTTCAGACCCACGTGAGCAGGAAACCATTTACATCCTTTGGGACTTTCTCACTGAACTATAAGAACTGCTTGGTTGTTGCTTTTCACTGAACATATATTCACACACGACTCCTCAAATCAAGCCAGCACTGACGATAAGACACAAGTAGCGTGCAATTCACCAACACAACATTACAAAAAAAAGAGAAAAACTGACAATGAGAATTGTTTTAGTTTATAAAAAGCCTTGGGGCTTATTAAATACTCCCTGTCACCCTGTTAATATCATGGATCTTACTCAACTGATAACTACAAGACTTTATTTCAACAGGTAGACAGACATCACTGATTTACTATGACAAGAAAATAAAAAAATCTCAGGGGCTACCAAATTCAGCATTTAAGAGCAGTCACCCTGCTTACCGTGATCACAATACTGGAGGTACTAGACTCTCAGCCACAAGTGAGACTAAGGAAAACAGTCCACCAATGAGAAACCAACCCACTAGCAGACCAAGCTTTATTTGGACTCATGGATGGCCTCTGACCTAACTGTGCATTCCTGGTTGCCAACAAGCACCATCATCTCCCACCTTATCTAAAACAACCTAACGCCCACCCTTTAGTTTCATAAGCTGTCACTGCATGTTAGAATGAACACCCGTGCAGTGTCAAACACACCCTACACCAGCACAAAGTTTGAGTCCAGTGGCACAACACAGGCCAACACAGTCTAACTCCAGCTATAAGCTTGGGAGCAGGGGTGGGGAGCAAAAGGGACTGCTGAAATGGCTTTTGCAAGATCCTTCCCCCCCTTCCATTCTGCTGGCCTCAGGGAGCCACTGCCAGTAGAAAGGAGGGAGGGAAGCTCCATGGACCTCACGAACCGAACCGGTTTGCGAAGTGGGGGACGTTCGTCCCGGTTTGTTGTTCACGGGACCTCACGAACCACGAACCGGGATGAACCTCCATTTTCCCAGTTCATGCCCATCCCCAGTTCAGAGGTGGTTTGCCACTGCCTGCCTCTGCAAAATGACCCCGGTACTCCTTGCTTGTCTCCCATCCAAATACTGACCAGGGCCAACCCTGCTTACCTTCCAAGATCTAATGAGAAAGGGCTAGCCTGGGCCATACAGATCAGGGCAGAAAGAACCCCAGGCATTTGAAAAGACAGCAAGGACAGGAGCATCATCTCTCAACCTGCAGAGGTCTCAAGACATTACAAGGAAATTACAAGGGAGTCGTTACCGGCTAAATATCAGGAGAAACTTCCTAACTGTAAGAGTGGTTGAGCAGTGGAACAGACTGCCTCGGGAGGTGGTGGATGCTCCTTTGCTGGACATTTTCAAGCGGAGGCTGGACAACCATCTCTCGGGTATGTTGTAGGGCTATCTTTTGGCTATGCTCCTGCAGAGTGCAGGGGGTTGGACTAGATGACCTGCAAGGTCCCTTCCAACTCTAACATTCTATGATTCCATGACAGATAGACGCCCTATTCTGCCCCAATACAGAGAGCTGGACTTACCAGGTTAGTGAAGTAATAGCCGTCCTCTCCTGTCATGAGCCTGCTGGGATTGCAAAACCGAGTGATGTACTGGATGTTGGACTGCAGGCGGGGCGGGTTGCCCTTCAGAACGATGTAGATGAGGGTAGGCAGGAAGTCGTCTGCGGAGGCCGGCTCGTTCTTCGTGGTCCGGATGGCGGTGAAGATGTGCTTGCTGCAGCTGGTGATGCAGGCCAGCTTGTCCCGCGGAACCCGCTTCGAATCCATCTCAATAATGTCTGCAAGATGGAAGGAAGCCCAAGAGGATCAAGAGAGTCACCTGCTGGCCCATAAACCAAGACAGTGGAGAGATACAAGGACTTACCGTGCTGCGCTGGCTTCTCGGATTCAAGGCACAACCAACACCCTGGTTCACCCTCAACTCCAAGGGAGAATGCCTTAGGATAGCAATTGAAGGAGGGGGGTGCAAGGAGCCAGAGAGGGCTGCTGCATTCAACGTCTATTTGTGGTCTCCTTGAAATAATTTGGTCAGCTAGTGTGGCAAAAGAGATGAGCTTTTGTCCTAACCGAGGAGGGCTCTTCCAACACTGACAACTCCAGAGCTCTTGTTAAACCTCAAATATAGTATATTGTCGAAGGCTTTCATGGCTGGAGTTCATTAGTTGTTGCAGACTTTCCGGGCTGTATGGCCGTAGTCTTGGCATTGTAGGACCTGACATTTCACCAGCAGCTGTGACTGGCATCCTCAGAGGTATAACACAGAAAGATGGAACATAAGAACATAAGAGACGCCAATGTTGGATCAGGCCAAAGGCCCATCCAGTCCAACACTCTGTGTCACACAGTGGCCAGAAATACCAGTGCCATCAGGAGGTCCAGCAGTGGGGCCAGGACATTAGAAGCCCTCCCACTGTTGACCCCCCCCCCCAAGCACCAAGAAGACAGAGCATCACTTGCCCCAGAGCCCCTAGCTATACCTTGTGGCTAATAGCCACTGATGGACCTCTGCTCCATATGCTTATCTAATTCCCTTTTGAAGCCGTCCATGCTTGTAGCACCCACCACTTCCTGTGGCAGTGAATTCCATGTGTTAATCACTCTTTGGGTGAAGAAATACTTCCTTTTATCCGTTCTAACCCGACCGCTCTGCAGTTTCATGGAGTGCCCACGAGTTCTTGTATTGTGAGAAAGGGAGAAAAGTACCTCTTTCTCTACCTGCTCTTTCCCATGCATAATCTTATAAACCTCGATCATGTCACCCCTCAGTCGTCTTTTCTCCAAGCTAAAGAGCCCTAAGCGCTTTAACCTTTCCTCATAGGGAAAGTGTTCCAACCCTTTTATCATTCGAGTTGCCCTTTTCTGCACTTTTTCCAAAGCTATAATATCCTTTTTAAGGTGTGGTGCCCAGAACTGCACACAGTATTCCAAATGAGGTCTCACCATTGATTTATATAGGGGCATTATTATATTGGCTGATCTGTTTTCAATACCCTTCCTAATAATCCCCAGCATAGCATTGGCCTTCTTTATTGCAGTCACACACTGTCTCGACATTTTCAGTGAGTTATCCACTACAACTCCAAGATCTCTCTCTTGCTCAGTCTCTGCCAGTTCAGACCCCATCAATGTGTATTTATATTTAGGATTTTTGGCTCCAATGTGCATCACCTTGCACTTGGCCACATTGAACCCCATTTGCCATGTTGACGCCCACTCGCCCATCCTTGACAGATCCCCTTGGAGTGCCTCACAATCCTCACTGGTTTTCACCACCCTGAACAACTTTGTATCATCCGCAAATTTAGCCACTTCACTGCTTACTCCCATCTCCAAATCATTAATGAACAAGTTAAAAAGCAGTGGACCAAGTACTGATCCCTGCGGTACCCCACTGCTTACCACCCTCCACTGAGAAAATTGCCCACCTACACTCACTCTCTGTTTTCTATGAACTAGCCAGTTTTTGATCCATAAAAGGACTTGTCCTTCTATCCCATGATTTTTGAGCTTACTTAGGAGCCTTTGATGAGGAACTTTATCAAAAGCAATACAATGAATGCTACAATCAGCAAAAGACAGATGAGACCCCCTCACTTCTGCAGGAGTATACTGCATATCATGCAGTTGTGGACAGGTTTACATCGGAACCACACGGCATAGCATTCAGACAAGAATAAAAGAACATGGAACATACTGCAGACTGGGCCAGCCTGAAAAATCAGCACTGGCTGAACATAGCCTAACTCAAACAGGATATAGTATCTTATTCCAAGACACTGAAAGGCTGGACAACACATCCAATTACCATTTAAGATTACACAGGGAAGCCATTGAAATTCATGAACATAAACACAATTTCAACAGGAAAGAAGAGAATTTAAAAATAAACAGGGCATGGTTTCCTGTCCTGAAAAACACAAAATGCTCTACATCTTACAATAGCACTACAGCTAAATTAGAATTTCAACAGCGAATCCATATGCAAAAGAGCCTCCTCAGGAAAGCTCCTCCATTAGCATGTCACAGGCTGGGGAACTCCTACAAGATAATGACTCAGCCCTACCCCACCCCTGAGTAGATATAAATTTACCTGCCAACCATTTTTCTTCTCACCTTGACACAGAGTACTCTATCTTTCTGTGTTATACCTCTGAAGATGCCAGTCACAGCTGCGGGCGAAACGGCGGGTCCTACAATGCCAAGACCACGGCAATACAGCCCAGAAAATCTACAAGAACTCAAATATAGTGTTTCTTTCCACAGCTAAAAAATGACAAAGGCTATCATGCCACCAGCTCTGTAATGCCTGAAGACAGTGTCCTCTGAGCTTGAAGAAAAAGAAGAAGAGATTGGATTTATACCCCGCCCTTCACTCAAAGTCTCAGAGCAGCTTACAATCTCTTTCC